CAATTAATTTATTTGCCAACAAAACGTCTTCATTGTCTGCACCGTCGAGTGGTGTCAATGGACTGATTGGATGTGTGGTTGAGTAGTGTCTGGATTAGATGGACGCGTCAAATGAGGTGATGTCTTGACATGTCTTTCAAAAGTGATTTAAACTTTAAAACGCCTTTTATTGACAAATAACTCAAATAGAGTTCACTCTAACAGAGAGTCGTGTAGAAAATGTTTGCCTTATTTGTATTGAAATGCATTGAAAACATTGAACGCTTTGAATGACACGTGTGTTACAGACATTTAAAGGGCATATGATGTGAACAACACATTTGAATCACACATCAGTTTACAGTTAAGACTTGCAGTGTTTTGTTGATATCTGTGGCAACATATGGACACTCGTTGACAATGAAGATACTGATCCTTCATCCAGACTTAGGCATCGGAGGCGCTGAGCGTCTTATAGTGGACGCCGGTATGGCATTCAAGGCGCTGTCACATGACGTCCATATCGTGACCACTCATCACGACAAGAGTCACTGCTTTGAGGAGACAAAAAACAAACCTTTTCATGGCTTTCGCAAAGTCTTTGGCTTCCGGTCGACACAGAACACCGGTTTCGTTGTGTTTGACTGTCTCTCGCGGACCGCCACTATTGACGGCAATGACCGGACGGCTCATATACATGGCCTCCAGCGGCACAATCCCGAAGTGCTCGTTGTCGGGGGTGTAGAGCAGAGCAGTACAGCTGTGCAGTAGGAGTTGCTTCTTGTCATTGGAGGGCGACTTAAGAAACGACACTTTGTCCTCAACACCCAATTCATTGGCTCTGATGACCAGTTCGTCATAATGTTGGCGGTTCTCCACATTCAACGGATCAAAGCCTCCGACAATAATCAGATGAACCGTTTTCTTCGACTGAGGATTACTCGCATTCATGTCTTCGTAGAGCTCTTTAAGCGCTTCGATCGCAAGACTTATATTCTTCTTACGCTCGTATCGATTGATTGATAGGAAAACAGTTGCGATGTCTTTGAGTTTGAGATCATTGAGCTCTCCTTCGAGTCTGCGGTCAAAAGCCGTGAAATTAATGGACGGATAGATCACTTGAATTTCTTTGTGCGAAAGGCGTTTGAATGTGTTTCTGAACATCTGAGCCGTGAATTTCGAGTTCACGATCACTACATCCGCCAAACCTGTCGTCCACTCTTCAAACCAATCGATAGGATAGCGATATAACCTCTTGAGGAATGTCTTGCGTTCGGTCAACAACTGGTCCGGAAAGTGACAGTAAAACACAATTTTCTTTTTGGAAAGTTTTAAGACAGGAATACAGGCGGAGATGGAGTCACAGAAGATGAGATCAAACTGAAGGTCTGAAAAGAATATGACATAAATGGCGGCGATTATCATACGATAGTATGCCATCAGAGCGTAGAACCTGTTGAACACCGATCGGGGCATCCAATCGCCCACTACTGTCACCTCAAGACTACCATTGAAACAGAGGAGTTTCGTCACTGAGAACAGCACTACTCACCAGTGCTATACCTGCAGTACACTGTCGCGGAACTTACGGTATGGCCGCAGGTGATATTCTGCGAGTCGCGGAGGCTACGGATTCAGACCGTGAAGGATCAGTATCTTCATAGTCAACGAGTGTCCATATGTTGCCACAGATATCAACAAAACACTGCAAGTCTTAACTGTAAACTGATGTGTGATTCAAATGTGTTGTTGACATCATATGCCCTTTAAATGTCTGTAACACACGTGTCATTCAAAGCGTTCAATGTTTTCAATGCATTTCAATACAAATAACGCAAACATTTTCTACACGACTCTCTGTTAGAGTGAACTCTATTTGAGTTATTTGTCAATAAAAGGCGTTTTAAAGTTTAAATCACTTTTGAAAGACATGACAAGACATCACCTCATTTGACGCGTCCATCTAATCCAGACACTACTCAACCACACATCCAATCAGTCCATTGACACCACTCGACGGTGCAGACAATGAAGACGTTTTGTTGGCAAATAAATTAATTGAATTTGATTTGATTGTCTCATTGACGGCTGATTTGGAAGTATTGGAAGCGATTGAGTGATTGCTTATCAGCAGAGATGTCGGACAAAGACTACTCACCGCTGAGTAATGCCTGCGTTCGGGCCCTCAATGACAAACTCTACGACAAACGAAAAGCGGCGGCTCTTGAGATCGAAAAGTTTGTATCAATGAATGGTTTGAATGAAAGATAATTGAATGGTTTGTTTCGATGCGAAGAATGGCCAGAGATTTCAATACCGTTGGGAATGTGACACAAATCAAGAAGTTGCTGAAGACATTGGGTCAGGACTTCACGCTCTCTAATAATCCCAATTCGAGGAAAGGAGGTCTCATAGGGTTGGCTGCGATGGCCATAGCGTTGGGCAGAGACTCGACGCCATATATCGATGACCTGATCCGTCCGTTGCTGTCGTGCTTCGCAGACCAGGACTCGAGAGTGCGTTACTATGCCTGCGAAGCGCTGTATAATGTGGTGAAAGTGAGCCGATCCGATGTCTTACCACTCTTTAACGAAGTGTTCGACTCGTTGTCCAAATTGGCTGCAGATCCCGACCAGAATGTCAAGAGTGGCGCCGAACTCCTGGATCGGCTCATGAAAGACATTGTCACCGAAAGCCCGACTTTTAATTTGATTGAATTGATTGATTTGATTCGAGACAGGATTCATGGCATCAATCAGTTTTCGCGACAATTTATTGTGTCGTGGATTTCATTACTGGATTCAGTGCCGGAAATCGATGTCATTGTCTTTTTGCCCAAACTTCTCGACGGATTGCTTAAGATATTAGCGGATCCGACCCCTGAGATTCACCGAATGACTGAACATTGTTTGGCAGAGTTTTTGTTTAAAATCATTCAAAACCCGTCGAAAACAGACTTCTCTTCAATGATTAATATCCTAACCGTTCACTCGCAGGCGACTGACGATCCGTTAGTACAATACACGGCCCTTACATGGCTTAAGGAGTTCATGAATTTGGCCAATAGTCGAGATCTGTTGCCATTCTCTGCCAGCATTTTGACGGCAATCCTTCCGTGTCTGACATCATCTTCGGATCAAAACGACGATTCGGACGATAAGAACAAAAGCACAACCAATATAAACATCAGAGAAGTGGCCAAAGTGTTGAACTATAGTTTGATGCAATTGGTGACTATGCAGGACAGCCAACACGACGAGATGAGTCCTACTATTGGCCACCAGTCAAGCCATTCGGCGCACAACGAGTCGACAAATATCTCAGATTCAGTACAAAATTCTTTGGATATAACGAGTCTTTTGGAAGTATTGGTTCGAGAACTGAAAGCAGGAGAAAACGCGTCCACTTTAAGTAAATTAGCGGTTCTTCGTTGGATTCTTCACCTCTACTCTAAAGTCCCGCAGAAAATAGTCAGTCATTTAGAGAGTGAACTCTTTCCCGTCCTCCTTAAGACACTTTCGGACAAATCAGATGAAGTCGTTTTAATGGATCTTAAAGTTTTGGCTCAAATTTTTAGTTCAGCGCCGACTGTCACTGTGGGCTCTGATGTGAGAACGACTGTCCAATTAACAGCTGGAGCTGAGAGTCCGTCATATTTTACGAGATTTATGACGGATTTATTGAAGTTATTTCACAAAAATGGTAACGTTTTGGAAGAGAGGGGGTCTTTCATCATACGTCAGCTCTGCCTCCTTATGACAGCCGAAGACATTTACCGCTCATTGTCTGAAATATTACTCGATTACGAAGACCTGCGCTTTGCCTACACTATTGTGCAGACATTGAACACAATTCTGTTGACTTCGAGCGAACTCTTTGACCTCAGGAGTCAATTAAAGAACTTGAAGACCGATGAGAGCTGTTCCCTGTTTTGTTGTCTTTATAGAACGTGGTGTCACTCACCTGTGGCCACAGTGTCCCTGTGCTTCCTCACTAAGAACTATAAACACGCCTGTGATCTGTTAATGCTCTTCGGTGACCTCAATCTGACACTCGAGTTCCTTACAGAAGTGGACCAAATGGTCCAACTCTTGGAGTCACCCATATTTGCTTGTATTTATCACTTTTTACTTTATTTGGTTATCTCTTATCTCTTAAATTCATATAACTCTGGATTCAATTTACAGATTTAAGACTCGAATTACTAGACGTTGAGAATAATTGTGATCTAATAAAGAGTTTATACGGACTGCTAATGATTTTGCCTCAAAGCGAAGCCTTTCATTTGCTACGCAAACGACTTCAGTGTTTGCCTAACTTTAGTCTCTACTCCTCTTCTGATTCTCAAAAGTATAACTAATGTTTTCATTAATTATTAACACTTTAAAAGATTTTTTGTGTCATTCGTCGCATTAATTATTCATTTATACAATTAGAAAGAGTGTCATCAAAAGCAGTCCAACGCAACCAAACATGGATTTCAAAGAACTTCTTCGACATTTCCATTCAGTCCAACACAAGCATCAGAACTGGAGCCGAACCACAGAGGCTTGGAATCGGATTAACGACAGATCTTATAACACATAAGCAAACCATTTGATAAGAAAAGTGGAGATCATTATAAAGAATTTTCTCTTTAAATTAACAATAAATTTATACAAAAGATGTTTTATCTACAAAACAGTTTGAATTCATTGCCTTAAATTGAATTAGAAAATATTTTTATTGATATCATTTGGAGTCGCCTTCAGATGGATAGACATACCCACGCATTGGTATCAATAATGAGACGCCTATTACTTGTAAGTGATGTTCATCTCTACTGCTCTACTAGTGCTACACCTCTTCCTTAACTTTGGTTAAGCAAAGAAATGCATTTGACATGAAGTCCATTAATGTTAGATTATTTTGTAACTCAAAACTCATTTAATGCTCATCTCTTACATAATAGTCAAGTATTATAAATGACTTCTCTATCAAATAAGTGACGTTAAGTTTTTGCTCATTTTAGAGGTCATTCACTCCGCTATTCTTCTGTCGTATATTATTATATAATACTGGATATTGTGTACAAAAAATATAAATTATATAATCATTGAAAATGTACTGCACTTGGAGTTTGAAATTAGAGTGAAATGAGTTATACTACACAAACTTATGAGAACTTTTTCACACTTGCTTTACAACGTTAACAATATTTTCATAACTTTATGATAATTAGTTCATAAATTAGAGGCAACACTAGTTCAGTGCAAATTGTTTTCGCATAACATTTGACACTATTACCGGGATAATAAATACTACACTCCCTGAATACTACATCAATATACAATAGCATTATATAATTTCTTATTTTCAATTTTCAATTTACATTTCTTCGTAGTAATAGAGTTGACAGTGAATTGACTGCTAATTCACAGCAAACAATGCTATCCTATGGGAGACAGAGTTATCCATTGAATTGGAGACCAATTTTGATGGTCACTCATCCGCTGTACTGATCAGCACTTGTATTGCATTCTGACAGACAATACAAGAGTTATATTTATAGTTGTATTTAAGCGATGAGTGGTTTGTCGACAATAAGGAACTCCGAAAGCGATTGTTATTCTAGTCTATCATTTGAGATAATTTGAGTTTTTATTAAAATCAAAACTTATATCCAGTTATTCAGACAGAATTGTATGAATGCTGTGAATGTCTGTCATGTCATGAAGAGCTAACATTTGATTGTTATTCTAGTCTATCATTTGAGATAATTTGAGTTTTTATTAAAATCAAAACTTATATCCAGTTATTCAGACAGAATTGTATGAATGCTGTGAATGTCTGTCATGTCATGAAGAGCTAACATTTGAGTCTAAGTCTAAGTCTAGCAGTTGTTGTAGTGGTTGGAGAGGTTGTGGAGGTAGGCGTCGATGTGTTGGCAATACATTCGATACCTTACTTGTAGTAAAAAAGTCAACTAATAATCAAAATAGTGGTGGAGTCGAGCAAAAAAGGCATCTCTCAGTCTCTCTCAGTCTCTCTCTCTCATAGACTCGTCAGTAGTGGTGAGCCTTTAGTGCCGTTGCTCTCAGTCTCAGCCCAATCTCAACCCTAAACACAGTGTTTAACATTTGGCTGAAATTCAGCTTTTTTCAGATGTTGTGTTGGTTGCGATTCGTGTGAATCTATCGCTGATTACTATAATAGTGGAGTCAATGTTGTATTCAATGTTGGATTCAATGCTCACAACTCATAGCCTAATGTGAATGCATTGCAAGCATTGATAGCATTGCACAGCACTGGCTATAGCTATAGCTATACAGCGACTGTTGGCTAACATTAAGCCAAATATCGATTCATTTCTCATTGTTTTCTCTCTTCTCTCGTGTTTTACTAAATGTGTCTTCAATTGCATCCACTCT